AGCACCATTTCCTAAAAAAAAAATTAATTTAATATTTATATATAATTTCAACCAAATAATAATAATCAAAATATAATTGAAATTAAATTATAGTTTACATAAATAAAATTTATTTACCTAATGATTATCTCCCAACAATGTTTCCTACAAAATAACAATATTAAAAAAAGTGTAAATAAATTGATCAATCACTCAAATTCATGTTTAATCAATTAGGGAGAAAGAATAGAAGAGAAAAAGAGAGGAGATTAAGAAGATATAAATCGAGATAAATATAAATATAATGTAATTATAAACATCGTAAAATTGAGCAGTATTTTAATAAAAAAAGGAGGAGAGACATATAATTAGGAGGGAGGAGGAGGAGGAGGAGGAGAGAATCTTCTTGGCAAATCGAGGAAAAGGCTTCATCACCTACTGAGGGCTGATTGCTATAGTAAGGGGAAGAAGAAGAAGAAGAGAATCTTCTTGGCAAATTGAGGAAAAGGCTTCATCACCTACTGAGGGCTGATTGCTATAGTAAGGGGAGGTTATTGACGAAGATGTAGTTGGCACAAAGAAAGTTCACTGACAAGGAATTCATTAGCAAAAGAAGAAGAAAAAGAAGAAGAGAATCTTTTTGGCAAATTGAGGAAAAGGCTTCATCACCTGCTGAAGGTTGATTGCTACAGTAAGGGGAGGTTACCGACGAAGATGTAGGTGGCACAAAGAAAGTTCACCGACAAGGAATTCATCGGCAAAAGCATTTTTTGCTCATTGGACTAAAAAGCTGCATGGGTAGGTGTTACGGAGAACTTTGCAACTTACCAACAAGATTGTTGTTGCAAGATCTCATGGTTGCCGACGAGAGCTTTGTTGGTCTATAAACTTTTTGCCTACTGCATTGGAAAAGCCACTAGAGATGGTGGAGTGAATAGTCTCAACTAATACCTACAAAAGACACGTGGGTATTTCCTAAATTTACCGATGAAATCCTCCTTTGAAATTAAAATAATAAAAATTAATTTTAATGTTACTGTTTTTTCCTATACCGACAAAAATTGTGTCGACATGTTCTTCATCGGTAAATTATTTGTTAACTGACAAAGATTCTCACATTGGTGATAGTTGCTCAGTTATGCTCTTCATTCTAGTTTGGTTCAATTTAGTTGTTTCAATTTAACTTTTAAATAAAATTTAACTAAATAATTTTATATAATAAATATATGACAATTTAATTTTTTTTCCTCTCTATGTAATTTTTTTGTTTTTTCATTTAAATAGAAAAAATTTTAGTTATCATTTATTTATTATATAAAATTATTAAGTTAATTATATAAAATTGATGAATTAAAATAACTAAAAATGATCTAAAGAAGTAATCTATAATAATACTATAGGTTATAATTAAGTAAAAATAAATACACTAAATAATATCTTGAATAAAAAATTAACAATTAATTTTAAATCGCTCAAACAAACATTTATTTACTATTTAGATTGTTTATTTTGTACATTATGCTTGACGGTTATAATTTATAATTTTCTAATCCATAAACATTTTAAAAAGGACTTGATTCCATGAAACACAAACTTCGGTATCAAAAGACTCCAAAAGCGGTTAGTTCAGGTCCATGTACGGGTTTTTCCTACTTTTTATATGGCTCGGTGTAATAAATAGTTTATTAACCATTGACCTCTTTCCGTTTTAGTTTAAAATGTTTATTTTTTAAAATCATTTATTAACTTTTAAATTTATTTTAATTTTATCTATCCTAACATAATTCTATTAATTGAATTGATAAAATTCTAGATTTTTTATTGTTTAGCACCATATAAGCCATTACATAACTTGAAAATACAGGGAAAAGTTCTCAATGTTTCTTTAGTGCTATATTGTAATATAAAAAATTACTTTATATCGTAAAAAATTTTAAAATAAATTATTTTATATGGTGAAAATTTGTTAAACAAATTTGCCACCATTTTCAACCACATGACTACTTATGTGGTCGTTTATGTGGGGCCACATAATTAAAGTAATTTATGTGGTGTCATACAATCAAAGGTATCAAATTCCATCACCAAAACTACTAAAATTGTATTAAATTAGACTAAATTAAAATAATTTTAAAAGTCACTGAATGATTTCAAAAGAAAATAAAAATTTTAGATTAAAATAAAAAATTATCAATAATTAATAGATGATTAATGATTTATTAAATTAAACCCTTTTTATATGGTATGTCGAAACGAAATCTTCCACTTTACTGCTCTCTTCAATGCCCACATAATTTTTTTTTTTTTGGTAAACAATGCCCACATAATTACGAGCTACAACAACCTCTTCGTCACCAAAATCAGAATTACAAGTACAGGAAAGAGAAGAAGATATATAGACTGAGATCTGACCCTTCTCAACCCCTTTTACCTACCCTTTCTCTAAACGGTCTTCTGTCAATCCTTCTTAACCTTCTTCTTCTTTCCTTTTCCTGGTAAAAATCCGGTCTTTTCCTGTTTCTGCCCTTTTCTTTTTCCATTTTCAGCTTACAATTTTATATTTACTCATTTTAAGTGTTTTCTTTATATATATATATATATAT